TGTAAGATACTGCACCACCAAAGTGTGGATAATTTAAAAAAGGCAATGAGTTACTGTTATACAGTATCTGACTATTATAGTTTATTTTCTTAAAGTGAAAAAGTTATAACAAACAACAAAAAAAGAAAAACGACGACATATCATATATCGAGTGGAAAGACAACAGGAATGACAATAGAGGTCAGGTCCTGACACCCTTACCCCCCAAAAAGTTTTTCAAACAACGAGAGAAAAACTTGCAAAAAAAATCAACAACACAAAAAAATAAACTTTGACTAGAAAGAAAAGAAAGAGAAAAAAAAAAAAGACAACTTAACAACAAAAGAAAAGATCAATGACAAAAAACAAAAAACAAAAAGAATCAATGTTCATGTTGTCGATATTGTTGATAATGTTCTTTGTCAAATAAATCACCAGGTAATCGATCGAAATATAAATCCACCAACGATGATTTTTTCATTCCAATTGATAAAACTTGTGAAGATTTATCGAGTTTTAAATGAACATATCGAACATCACGATTACGAAGGATGTTCTTGATCTGGTGAAGGTTGAATCGGTGATAAATTTTACGAAGAATAAGATGTTGATCCCGATGTAAACGTTTGACCTTATTGCGTTTGTGATTACGACGTGTTCGTGCTGATGATGAACGACAATTTCGACGTAATTGAGGTGGTTCATTTGTAGATAATTGTTGATTTAATGACGTAGGTTCTATAGTAACAACATTAGAGACTATAAGAGGTTCAATTTCAACATGCCGAGTTGAATTAATTAATGTATTTGTATCATAATGCCTAGAAAGAGATGAAACAAATATTTCGTCTTCGCCTTCTTCATTTTCGTCTTCAGAAATATTTTCTAATAAGGTTGATAAAGGTAATGGTAAATGACGTGGAGCATTTGAAATAGATAATGATGTTGCTTTTGTTTCATTTTCATCTTCAGAAATATCTTCTAATGAAGTTGATGAAAATGATGATGAAGAATAAGGTGGAGCATTCGAAGTAAATAATGATATTAATTCTGTTTCACGAAGTTGAGTTATTGACCATTTTTCATAGATTGCTTGATGTAAAAATGTGACGGCAAAGCAATCGGAAGTTGCATAATGAATTCGTTGATGTTGTTCAGACGATGATAATGGTGAATAATTAGGATCTAACATAATGCTCCAAGTTTTTCTTGTTGATGATTTATCAAGAAAACGATTAACAGTATACCGAATTGCATTCTGTAATGACCATTTTTCTCCCGGATTAACATAAGGAGAATTATTCGAACAGGTACATGAAGATTTCGAAGACATAATCGTAGTCGATAATTGAACCGGACTACAAACCTTACAAGAAGGCTGTGCCCTGCTATACCAACCAGGAAATTCATCTTGTAAATTAATCAATAATGCCAACGATGGCCATGTAAATAAATTCATGCGAACAGCAGGTTTTAATTCATCAGATATCGATCCCCAAGAAAAAATAATATTTCCTAAACGAAATAAAACACAAAATAATAATTGAATTTTTTCATACAATAATGTGTCAATTGGAGGAAGATGATTAAGTTCAAATAACACAATAAATGATGGTAAAGTTTGAGGAATAGAATGAACTTGAATAAGTGATAATTCATTTGTTAATCGATCTGATTCAGTGTCGATTGAATATCTATAACATGATTCAAAATGATTGATCAATGTAGACATAATATCAATTGTTGTGAATCGATGAACATGTACACTATTGTAAAATGATGATGGAATTGTAAATGGACGATAATTGCGTCGATAATTATTATTTTGTTCTTCTAAACGAACATTACGATTATGACGACTTTGTGATTTACCACTGGAACCACGATTGGAATTTTTTGACGTGCAACTAGATGAAGACGAATGAGACGGCATAACACCAAATACATAAACAACAAAAAAAAATCAATAATAACAAACAAAGTTATATGATAGTGGAAATCACTATCCAAACGAAACGAAGGAAAGGAAAAAGTGGATAAATTCCAATCAACCAAATCGTGATATAACTTGGAATAAAGAAAGAAGATACAGTAATAGATAGAGGGCTTGAGACATAAACATGAACAATAATAGTACCGTACAAAACAAAACAAAAAAAAATGTTTTATGGTAATAATATCGGACGCATATCATTCACATGCACACGAGTAATTTGATCATTCAATTGATCTCGAACCCAATATGTTGGATGTTGTTTTTGTATGATAATCTTCGGGGTCAATGTATATTGTGGATCTAATTTTGATCTTAAACCATGAATTCTAATCAAAATTTTTTCATTAATGTCATATTGCGGATTGCTTCGATTTTTATCATAATATTTTTTATTGTTCATATGAGAATAAGTTGATTGATTTTGAGCATGTTGTTGGATAATTTGAAGACTTTTCTTTAATTGATTGTAATAATCTGATGGTTTGTAAAAAACATAATTTGATGTTGTATCTGTAGGCATACGTGGATCACGACCAAATTGTAATTGAAATGGAGAATATTGTGTAGCTGCGTGAACACCTGTATTGTACGCGAATACTACTGATTGTAAATATTCATCCCAATTGTTGTTTTCACGATCCTGAAGTTTAGCCAATTGAGGTACAAATGTGGCATTAAAACGTTCAACCATTCCATTAGTTTGTGGATGGTAAACAGTAGATAATATATGATTATATCCGATTAATTGAGCCATTGATTCCATTAATTGATTCTTAAAATGTGTGCCTTGATCAGTTAAGATTGATATTGGTACACCATATCGACAGATATATTCATTAAAAATGGTTTGAGCTGTCGTCTGAGCAGTACAATCAGGTAAAGCAACGGCAGTAATCCATCGAGTAAAATAATCAGTAATGCATAATACATATTGATTTTCTCGTGGTGTACGTTTAAACGGCCCACAGTAATCAATACCGATCAATTGAAAAGGTCCAGCTGGTGTTTCAATTGGGCGAAGTAAGCCAGGTTTTTTAAATCGACTAACATTATATTGTTGGCATGGTAAACAAGACTTGATAAATTGAGCAATAGACTGTTTCATATCCGGCCACCAATATTTATTCTTTAATTTATAATATGTACGTCGTATGCCAAAATGTCCACCCAATGGATCAGAATGATAAGCCTTGAGAAGAGAATTAATCATCGATGAAGGTATATAAATTAATTTAATTTTAGTAATATTTCGTAAATTCATCGGCATCAATTTATACAATAATCCGTCGTGAAAAACAAATGAACCACGTGTAGGATTTTGTTGAATTTCTTTGACCTTTTTCTGAATAACAGGATCTTTTGCTTGTTCCGATTTAATTTGTTTTACATCAAATTGATTACAAGTATATGAATTAACCTGTGATTGAGATGATAAATCCTTGATTTGTTCTAATGAGGATGATTCTAATTCTGTTTCGATTGATAATAAGGATTTATCTAATTCAGATTTTTGTTGTACATGTTGTTTCTTCATTGAACGTGTAACAACAGCACCTATAACAGAATGTTTATCAACGGAAACAGACGCCAAAACTGGCGGTTCCCCATTAAACAATGTACTAATACCATAATCTTCTTCAAATATTTCTTCAGGTTCAGATTGTATTGGATTACGAGACAAATAATCCGCAAGACAATTCTGTTGTCCTTTAATGTGAATAATTTTTTCAATATTATATTCTTGTAATAACATAGAGATACGATCAACTCGTCTGTTCTTCACTGACTTATTCATCATATTGCATAAAGGGCAATGATCCGTGTAAATGATGATTGATCTTCCTAATAAATATGATCGCATACGTCTACAGCATGCCCATATAGCCAGTGCTTCTAGTTCAATTGGATCATATCTCCTCTGAGTGGGAGAAGTAATTTGAGAATAATAATATAAATTTTTTGTTTCACCATTAATCACTTGTTGTAATGTACCACCAATGCCAACTTTCGAGGCATCCGTAGTTAAGATTACCGGATAATCATCATTCGGGAACTGTAAAAATAATGGTTGATTAATTAATAATTGCTTCAGTTGAAGAAATGCTTCATGTTGAGGATGTCCCCACATGAACTTCTTTCGATTCGGTTTTGTTAAATTTGTGACAGAAATAATTGGTGCTGCTACAGATGCAAATTGAGGTATAAATTTTCGATACCAGGAAATACCACCAAGAAATTTATTAGCTGCTGCTAATGTTGTAGGTTCACGTAAATTCATAATTGTTTGAATTTTTTCCTTATTGGGTTTCACTCCGAACTGTGAAACCGTATGTGATAAATAATCTATTTGTCGATGTAATATAAAGCATTTTGACGAATTTAATTGTAAATTATGACTTGATAAAATAGATAATACTTGAGTCAAATGCTTAACATGTTCTTCAAAGGTGTAAGAGAATATCACAATATCGTCAATATACACCAATGCGAACTGTCGACACGGAGATAATAAATCTAACATTAATCGTTGGAATGATGGAGGGCTATTCTTTAAACCTTGAGCTAATACATTCCATTCATAAAGCCCATCAGGCGTAATAAATGCTGTTTTGTGTTTATCTTCTTCTTTAATTGGAACTTGCCAAAAACCACTCTTCATGTCCAACTTAGAAAAGAATTGATATCCACCTCCTAATATTTGTATCGTTTGTTCCATATTGGGTAAAGGGTGATTGTCTTTAATAGTAATACTATTCAATTTTTTGTAATCAACTACCATCCGCCAAGTATTGTCCTTCTTCGGCACTAACATTGCTGGAGCAGCATAATTAGAATAAGATTGACGAATAAGACCTGATTGTAATAATTCTTGAATAATCTGGTGCATAGCTTCTTGCTTATGTGGCGTAGAATAATAAGCCTTTGACGTTGGTGGTGGATGATCTATTGTTTTTATTTCATGGAGTTTAACATTAGAAGCAATAGTTGTTTTCTTTGAATCAAATAATTTACCATAACGAATAAGAATTTGTTTCACTTGATGTTGTTGATCATGATCATTAATATGTTCCACCAAATGATCAATGTGTGTGTCAGATGATTTTATTTGCATAACTGAAATTCCTATTGATAATGGTTTTGATGTCGGGATTGTATCAAAGATAATCTTTTCACTATTATCAATAGGTATAGTTAATCGATAATTCTTGACACCTATCGATATTGTTCGATTAACAGTGTTGATAATTAATTTATATTTAATAATATAATCCATACCAAGTATACAATTAACACAAAGATGCTTCACAATAAATGCTCGAATTGATGTATGAATATTATTCATAATAAAGGACAAATCCACCTCACCATAAACAGTGATAGAAGTATATCCATCAGCTAAAAACACTTGTCGTTGAATTCTATTAATAATTTTGCTATTTCGAATAGAATCTAATGCCTTCTTTGAAATAAAAGTTCGATTAGCACCAGTATCAATCATTAATTTCATTTGTTTATCATAAACATAAGCATTAAGATAAATTAAAGGAACATAAGTACGTTGTGATGGGTTTTCATATTGATTCTTGGAAGCAACACCATCAATCGATGCTTCCATTAATGGAAATGGGAACGGGCACAATCCCGTGAATAATGTCCGGGAGTCCCACAAGTATAACAGACACCTGATGGTCTTTTTGACGTTGCATTTTGTGATGAACTAGAATATGAAACCTTATCATTACGAAAATTATTCATACGACCTGATGTAGAAGTCTGTAGTTGCGATTGATGAACATCAGAACGCCGATGATCAACATCTTGTTGTGGATTAACTATTGATGTTATTGGTTGACGATCATAATTCGTATTCTGATGATTATCATATTGATTCAAATCATAATCTGTATTGGTTAATGATAATGTATCTTCCACTTTCCTGGCATAAGATAAAAATGCATCAGGAGATTGTGGATCATATAATGCAATATGTAATTTTAAGGATTGTTTAACACCTGCCAATAAATATTGTAATTTCATAGAATCGGTCATTGATGTATCAACTCTTTTACATAATTCAATAACTTTATCATAATATTGCGTAATAGATTGATTAATCGCTTGTTTGTATGTTCTCAATTGCTCAAATGTTAATTCTTTCAGTTTGGTCGACCCAAAAGCTTGTTTAATTGCATCAATGAAACATGGCCAAGTCGTAATCTTTGTTGATGATTGATTCCACCAACGATAAGCGTCTTCTTGTAAATGAATTGGTATATATTGTAATTTAAGTTCATCAGGCCAATTAGCCATTGTAAATCGTTGTTCTAATTTTTCTAACCATTCAATAACATCATCTTTTGCACCACGAAAATATGTTGGAGACTTGATAATCTCTCTCGCCATAGTAATAGAAAGAGCTGATGTTAATGATGAATTAATGTTAATGGACGAAGATTTAGTCGAAGAAAACTGTGCCACTGGTGTAATATCACTAACAGACGATAAATGATGATCTTTCGAAGGAATAATATTAATTTTCAATCGACCATAAATGTGTTGCTTTAACTTCTTGCAAAAATAAGACCAGTCATTCTTGATTTCTTGTTTTTCTTGTTCATACCAAAGCTGTTCTTCATCTTGTAAATAAGTAATTGTTTGCCACATACGGCGTGACATTGGATATCGTAATTCTTCATACACTTTATGTATATCTAATAACCATTGTTCTATATTCAACATTTCATCTTTAGTTAGTAATTTAATTGATTCTAATTGTTGTTGTTCGTATTCTCGATAATCATCCCATTTTTCTAACTTGTGTTGAACAATTTTATTAGATTCTTTTTTATGATCATCATCCGAATCTTCAACTAATTGTGTTAATGATAAGGCGTTATTTGCCTCCAAAGTCGAAGTTAATTCGTTTTTAACTTGTT